AAGATCCCCTTACCGGTCATCTTTAAAAAAAAAAAAAAAAAAAAACAAGTGGGTATACATGATACCAATGCAGTAAGCACTATAAAATTTTTTGCCATTACTATTGTTGTTGTTTGTTTGGAAAAACAAAACACAAACTATTTGTTTTTCTTCTACTTTTACTCAACAACAAATCATCAACACAGAAGACTGACTTCTATAACCAAATGTATGGAAATTTCTATTCACTGGCAAGCAAGCCAGCAATTCTTCAACCGATTCCAGCTGGGTGTCCTCCAATTTAACTCTGAAACTATCTACCTGAAGATAGCATCAGATCCCACAGGCTGAGGGCTCAGTCCCCAAAACTGCCCCCTCTTTCAGATGTCAGTCGTAAGCCAGGCCTTTGGAAATTCTGTCTGACCAGCTATAAATTGGGGTTCCCATGACCCCCTCCTTGGGTTTGATTAATTTACTAAAGCAGCTTACAGAACTCAGGAAAACACTTATGTTTACTGGTTTATTATAAAGGATATTACAAAGGATACAGATGAAGCAATGCATGGGGCAAGGTATGGGGAAGGGGCACAGAGCTTTCATGTCCTACCTGGGTGTGCTGCCCTCCAGGAAGCTCCACGTGTTCAGCTATCTGGAAGCTCCCCGAACCCTGTGTTCTTGGGTTTTTATGGAAGCTTCATTATGTAGGTCTGACTGAATCATGAAGAAGCATGTAGAAATGTGATTGGACAAAAAGGGTGTGATCTAACACTAACAGTTTGGGTGGGGAAACCCACAAGGTCTGTCTGTTCAGGTTCTTCTTGGCCTGTCTGTGCAGCATTCCTTTCTCCAGATATGGGGCAGGGTCTCTCCTGAAGTGGGGGGTCTTATTTCCTATAATCAGACAAGGTAGGTCAGAGAATTTCCTGCCTCAGGGAGAAAAAGGAGCAGGTGAAAGGAGGGCAGGAGAAGATCAGGGAGTAGCATGAGCCAGGAACCGTGGATGAAAACCAATACATAAGTATCATGATGTCACATTATTATTTCCCAGTTGCCCACCACTCTCCCCCAATTGTCCTCATGCCTCAGTGATTTCTTCTCAAAGAAAGGAGAAGGGAAAGTCAGGCAAGGTATTCTTTAATGGTGTGGGGGTGTCACATTATTATTTCCCAGTTGCCCACCACTCTCCCCCAATTGTCCTCATGCCTCAGTGAAAGGAGAAGGGAAAGTCAGGCAAGGTATTCTTTAATGGTGTGGGGGAACCTCTCAGTGACAGTGACAAGATAATCACAGCTTAAGTCTGGGATCTGGCTCTGTGACTA